CTCTTGATTCACCCTCACTGACTCTAGAAGTCCAACAATACTAAGATTAGAATTACATTGTGATTATTCCAGACCTCAGGGGTGAGGATGAGCTGTCCCATATGACCACAGAATTGAGAAAATCCACAACATAAGAGAGGAAAACAGCCTTTGAACTACTCTGTCCCTTCTGTACTCTTGTACAGAGCTTCATTCACAGAGGTCAAACTGGTTTACGTTTTCACACCAAGAGTGATAATTTAGAGGCAGACATATAGTTTCTCCACCATTTAAGACCCCTCACACATATGTGGAACATTGAAAGTCTAGCATTGCTCTGCCACTTGGGTCACTTGCTTGCTCATTTTTCTACACTGAAAGTGATAAGTTAGAGGCAGACATATAGTTTCTCCACCATCTCAAGACTCCTTGCATGTGGAACATTGAGAGTATACAATTGGCCTGTCACTTGGATCACATAGTGATGAAAAGGGTTTGGACTCACGATTGACAGCCCATGAATCTTGGTCTATGTTTTGTATTCACATAGTGGATGTTCCTAATGAAAGAGACAATAACAAAACACCACAGTAAAGACAATTTGGACTCCAGATAATGAGGGCATCTTGCAACACTGTCCTGGCAGAGGGGATTATGGACCCAGTGAGAAACTGTCCCTGATTATGGAGTGTGGTCAGTGATCTTACTGAACCAGAAGCCCAGGTGACAACAATATCTGATCTCAAAACAGAGGATGCAAGCTAGTCAAACAACAGAAATTGACATCAAGGTCATCCAGTTCAGAATTGTAACCAATTTGTCCAACTTCTTTCTCAGGCTAGACTAAGTAGTAAAGGTCTATTTACAACCAAAGAACTTCTGCATGTGCAGAGGAGGTGATTCTCTTCACTATGCAGGTGTGTTTGTGTCAGAACTTAAGCATGGAAATCCGAGAAGTCAAACCTGACAGAGAACAATGGTGAGACGTTGGAAGTAAACACAGAGGAAAGGAAGGCCTATGAAGCCCACAATAAATAATTCACAGTAGTATTTTTAATGAAGTGATAGAATTATAAGAAACTATGAATAAATATTTGGAGCTATGACCCCCCCAATGAGAGAATAAGTGGCACTTTTTTTTCTGGGTCGAGGTTATTTCAGCTAAATATTTTATAGTTTCATTTATTTTCCTGAAAATTTCATGGTTTCATTGTTTTTCGTCAATATATCTGTGACACATTTTTATCATCCATTCATCAGCTGAAAGACATTCAGGTTGTTTCCTTGTCCTAGCTATTGAAAATAGAGCAGCAAAGAACATGACATGGAATGCATCCATGGCATAAGATGTCAAGTTCTT